ACGGATAATCAGCATGACGGATATTCGTTCTGACGGATAATCCGCCTAACGGTATTCCAACCTGACGGATTATCGTCTTGACGGATAATCCGCCTGACGGATAATCGTCCTGACGGTTGATCCGCCTGACGGATAATCGGTCTGACGGATTATCGTCCTGACGAATAGACGGCCTGACGGATTATCGTCCTGACGGATAATCGTTAATTGGCAGGACGGTATACCTGCCTGACAAAAAATCGGCCTGACGGACAATCGGCCTGACGGATTATCGTCTTGACGAATAATCGGCTTGACGGATTATCGTCCTGGCGGATAGACGGCCTGACGGATTATCGTCCTGACGGATAATCCGCCCTACGGATAATCGGCTTGACGGATATTCGTTCTGACGGATAATCGTCTTGACATTTAATTGGCAGGACGGTATACCGGCCTGACAAAAAATCGGCCTGACGGACAATCGGCCTGACGGATTATCGTCTTGACAAATAATCGGCCTGACGGATTATCGGCGGATAATCCGCCTTACGGATAATCCACTTGACGGATAGTCGGCCTGACGGTAAATGGTTCTGACAGATAATCCGCCTGAAGTATAAGTGGCCTGACGGATAATCGGCCTGACGGATAATCAGCCTGACGGATAATCAGCCTGACGGATAATGGGCCTGACGAATAATCAGCCTGACGGATAATCGGCCTGATGGATTATCATCCTGGCGGATAAACCGCCTAACGGATAACCGTCCTTACGAGTAATCGGCCTGACGGATAATCCGCCTGACGGATAATCGTCCTGACGGTTGATCCGCCTGACGGTTGATCCGCCTGACGGATAATCGGCCAGACGGATAATCGGCCTGACGGATTATTTTCCTGACGGTTTACCGGCCTGACGGAATATCGTCCTGACGGATAATAGGTATGACGGATAATCGGCCTGACGGATAATTCGCCTGACGGATAATTCGCCTGCCGGATACTCGTCCTGACGGATAATCGTTATGACGTATAACCGGCCTGACGGATAATTGGCCTGACGGATAATCAGCCTGATGGATAATCGGCCTGATGGATTATTTGCCTGACGGATAATCCGCCTGTCATTTAATCGGCCTGATGGATTAGCATCCTGACGGATAAACCGCTTGACGGATAATCCGCCTGACCGATAATTCGCCTGACGGGTTATCTGCCTGACGGATAATCCGCCTGACGGAATATCGTCCTAACGGATAATCGGTCTGACGGATAATTGTACTGACGGGTAATCGGACTGACGGATAATCGGGCTGACGAATAATCCGCCTGAAGAATAATCCGCCTGACGGGTAATCCGCCTGACGGATAATCGGCCTGACGGATAATCCGCCTGACCGATAATCCGCCTGACGGATAATCCGTCAGACGGATAATCGGCCTGACGGATTATTTTCCTGACGGGTAAACCGCCTGTTATATAATCGGCCTAATGGATTGGCATCCTGGTTATAAACCGCTTGAAGGATAATCCGCCTGACGGATGATCCGTCTGCCGGATAATCGGCCTGACGGATATTCGTTCTGAGGGATAATCGTCTTGAGGGATAATCGTCCTGACGGATAATTTACCTGACGGATAATACACTTGACGGTTATCCGCCTGACGGATAATCGGCCTGACGGATGATCGGCCTGACGGATAATCTGCTTGACAAACTATTATGTCCAAAAAAATGAAAATGTAAATCAACAAGAAAATTGTATTCTTCACTGCGTACAAACCAAATTGTAGATCGTACAATTACAATGCTCATACCCGTGTATACAAGAAAATGTCCAACAAAAGAAACACGGTAGTTGTCGCCAGGAGATTTGCCTGTACAATCCAGAGTAACCGTATCCAATCCGATTAACCGTAACAATTTAACGAGACGCAATCACAATAATTAACTCTTATAATAATGACCTTTATCTTGTATGGTACTATATCTCGTTGCATGATTGCCCCCTACCTCCTTTATAAACCCTTGGGGACTTCATTACCAGGGGCTCGCTTCTGTGTCAGGTTACAGTGGCTTCTTTTGCATTCACTAAAGCGTACTCCGTACGAATAATCTGGCTGCAAGCGCGCCCAATATGAATAATCATATATATATAAATATTACACAAACGAATAAGTGCAATTGTGACTAAAGCACAAACGAATAAATGAGTCGTGCTGGTGTTTCGTGGTCGCAGACATGCTGGGGCGCCCGCGACCCCGCCCACCCGTTCGCCTCGCGGCCGCGCCCGCGCCCTCCGCTCGCCCCCGCCCCCGCCCCCGCCCCGCGCCCGGCCGCCCCGGCGCTCGTTCGTTCCTCCGCCGCCGCCGCCGCGCCGTCGCCGCCGCCCGTTGCCGGCCGCCTCGACGACGCGGCGCAAGCTGCTGCGGACGCGCCGCGTCCCCGACGCCCGCGCGGTGAGCAGCGCCGCCCCGGCTCCCGAGCTTCTATACAGGATGTCTCGGAATATACATGAGACCAGGCAGGAAACAACCAAAACTTAAAGCCAATGCTACAGCCATATTAACCCAGGGCTGATAACCTCCTTTCGCGTATTTAGTGTGCCTGCAATAAAGCCACTACTTGAAAATCTATTTTGTATGCCAAAAATTTGCATCTTCAGTAGCGTGGAAACACTCGAGACACATGTAAATAGTTTATTATGATACAAAATTACGTGTACACGTGTGTCAGCGTGCTGGCTGTTGCTAGTCCCTAATCCCGTTTTGTGGTTGCAGCGAGGGCCATTGCTGAGTGCTGCCACTCGGTGCGGCGCCGCCGTCGCCCCCCTCGCCGCGCCGCCCGCGCCCTCGCCCGCGCCCACGCCCGCGCCCCCCACCCGGGGCGCCGCCTCTGCTGCCCGCCCCGCCCCGCGGTGAGTACCACGAGCAACGGAATGGTTGCCTTCCCCTGCACTAGTGCTTTGTCCGATTGTTAGCGAGTCAGAACGCGTCAACTGCGAAGGTCATGTTAGTGTGTGTGTAAGGGAAGAATAGGACCAGGAAGATAGGACAAGGAAAGGGAAGGAAAGATCGCGCGATCGGCTGCTGCAGTCGGCTGCAAGAATTTTCCCCCAGGCAGCAGCTGAATTCGTCTTAGCTATGTAGCTAGTGTCGAAAATCCTGCCACTGTGAGGACTCGAACCTAGGACCTCCCGGCCAGAGGCACTGCAATGCCATCAGTTGGTGCCCTGAGACACATCTCTCGGATCCATTATTGGAGAAGTCACAGGCCGGCTTGAATGGGACAGTAACTGTTGTCACTGCAGTTTCTCGGCCCGGAAGGTCCTAGTTTCTAGTCCTCACAGTGGCAGTATTCGCAACTCTAGCTAGATAGCTCCGCCATCTCCAGCGTTAAAAGCATGTACTACACTTACGGGTCTAATGGCTAGCAGTTGACACACAGAGCTCAGAGTAAAGTATGTTGTTTTCTCTGTTGCATTTACAGATTTATGTGAAGCATTGCCTCACTTTTACCACTAGTGTTAAAAATTTACCTTTTAGCACGCGAGCCATGCTCTGAAAGCGCCGTTTTTAGTATTGGCTGTTTAAAAATATTTTACCAATCTGCGTGTGTGTTGTGCGAGCAGCGGCGGCAGCTTGCCAATGGCGTCGGCGTCCGCGTCGACGTCCAAGACGTCCTTGGAGGCGTCGTCCCAGGCGTCGTCCAGGGCGTCGCTGTCTGAGGCGTCGGCGGAGGGCGCGAGCGAAGGCGACGTCTCGGACATCCAGCGCCGCGTCATGGGCAGGTGAGGAAGCGGGCCTTCCACCTCTGAGGTTCCGGGTTCTTTTCCCGCAGAACCTCATGTGAAATTTGTTACGACAAAAAGGGCTAGTCCAATCCCTGTGAAACGTCCTAATCCTTATTCCTTCCCAATTCTGGCCGATGGGAAGCGACATAGGAGACGCGTCCGCGGCAATGCTACATGGGAGTCCCCTAGAAAACTGACTACGTCCAGACGTGACAAGACGTACTAGTAATGGAGGATACCTCCTAATAATAAACGCACTAAATTAATGGAGGATTACTCCAAGCGCCAAGCGCTTATCGCCCGCAAAGGGCTTCGAGACGCGTTGCATCTATGTAGACGTGAGAAATTGAAAAGCAAAAACACGATGATCTCAGAAAGACGTGTGAGCGAAAGAGGGATGGGAGTGGCGGCGTGTGCTGCAACAAGAATAAGGCAAACTACTTATTTGTGCTCTAATTATTTTAACACTTTTATTCGCGACTACTTGGAAAATACCTGATTGTTGAACCGTTTTGCAACAACGTTCCCCATTAAAAGACGATTCTGATAAAAGAGACCTGTAATGAATTTTTCACAACCCCACTGACACCAACTTATCACCATGTAACTGGCGCCCACGTAAAACCAAGAAGCTTTGTATTATATGAAAAATTCTTGACGTAGTGTTGGTTAACTTGTTATAGATCTCGTTTGTCAATTCATACGGCGCTTTTTCTTACGGCCCAAGCAACTTCATCTAGCTAAGAAACAAACTACTATCAGGAAGTTACCACCAAAGGTTCCACACATAAATATATTGAGTTAGCTTTCAGTACATTGATAACATGTACTAACTAATTGATATTTTATTTGGATTAATTGTATTAGAACAATCTAGTAAAGAGTTCTTTGGCGGTTTTTGAAATTCATTTCGAAAAATTAGAGAAGCACGTTTATTAATCGGCCGGATTTTCTATTATTTTCAAATTATCTTCAATTAAAAAAAATTACTTGGTTATAACCTGACATTCTCATTACAATATTAAACAAGACACGAGAACAATGATCAGCAAGAATGTTGCCTTGCTAGAAGAACAAATGATAATAACCACACTACCTTTTTTTGTGAAAGTATTTTTCCTGCGTTTGTTTTGTGTTAATCTCCACTCAACTTTGCAAGGACGCTGCGACAAATTTGAAGAAGAGTTTGTATAATTTTCGTATCTAATCGTACACTACTTTGTATGGTGTGTGTTATCGAGGACTGTCACACGTCTTTAAATTCACTTTCGTTGGAAGGATATAGGGTATTTGGAAGGTTGGCGTCCTGAGTTTCCGTTTTGCGTTGCAGGATCCTTCGTGTGCTGCTGAAGGGCGTGACGGAGCGTTCGCGCGGCGGCCGTCACAGCGCCACCGTCGCAACCGCCCCCTGCCTCTCCCTCGCCGCCTCCACCCCGCCGCCCTCCACCCCGTCCTCCCTCGCGGACGCCGTCGCAGATGGCGACTGGCACAAGGACGACGTGAGTACAGCGCCCTCACACGTTCTGGCTTCCACCGCCTCTCTCTACCTCTCTATCTGTCTGTCTCTCTCTCTCTCCCTCTGTCTTGCGCTCTCTGACTCTAGATTACTCTATCGCTCTCTGTCCGTTGCTCTCTCTCGCTCTCTTTCTCTCTCTCTCTCTCTCTTTCTCTCCCTCTTGTGCTCTCTCGCTTTCGCTTTCTCGTGCAGATAGTTTACACCCCCTACTTCCATAAAACTTTTAAAAAATGTTGCGGTTTAATTTTGAGCTTATTTCAGAACCCTCCAAAACTTTGAGCTTCCTCACAACACCCCCAAATTAAGAGAACAACCCCAATTTCTAAAAACTGAAAAATTCTTGGGCGTAATTTCTGACTCTTTAGTCACACTAAACTCTTTTTTACTTTCTCGTTATGCAGTAGAGAGAAAGTTATGTAATGCTAACTCTTATTACATGGCCCTGGTAACGAATGAGAAGGTACATCGAGTTGCTAAACTTTGGGAAAAAATCATCTAACACTTAGTGTAGTTGGAATGCATGTTTTGTGGGTCCTTACTACCGAAAAATGGAATGACGGCAAAACTTGTCGTTCCGTCCGTCTGTTTTGTGGGGGAAGACCAACGCCACCTCTCGAACAAACAAGCATGCACTACATTTACGGTCAACCGGAGCGACGAGTGAGTGCGTGGTGTGCGCAGGCGGGCGCGGGGACGGAGGCGTCGGCGCAGGACGCCTACGACGAGGACTTCGAGGACAGCCCCGCCCTCACGCCGCCCTCGCGCGACTCGCCCTCGGCTGAGCGCCAGGACGAGGACGAGGACGAGGTCCCCACGGACACCGACTCGGCGCAGGTACTATGCTCTATAGAAAATACTTCCATTGTAAGAAAGAAAAATATTGATTACTGCAGTTTCCGTCATGGAAGGCCCCATTTATTTCTTCTCCAAAACAGTTGAGCGTCTTATGCGATAAGACGACAACGAAAAATACACATGTGAACGTTTCTATTTTAGGCGCGCGTGATTGGCCTATAGGAACCTTATTATAAAACACTGTTGACCGGGTTCATACTACGTAATAACTTGTGAGTGGAGTAGTCAATCTATATTTTTAAATACGCCCTGAGGAAGGTCGCAGAATGGCGTCGGCACCTTCGCCATGGACGCGGCGTCGCCCGGACAGCCTAGTAAATACTGACTCCGGCCGCGGAAGCCAACGCTCTCACGGAGAAGTACCCTCAAAAAGTACTCTAGATGTAAGCAAAATCACTGTTCATCAAGATGCGCAGAAAAAATTCGGCTTTTACCGGCCTAATTTTTTTAATAAAAGGAGTTTAAATTCGTACAGGCTCTTATGAAACTACCTTTGCGGGCGTAGGTTTAAGTTATTGAAGAATCTATATGGTGAAAATACCTTTTTCTTTCACTCAATACGTAGTCAGTTTCTTGAAGAATAATATAATATTAAATGTAATATACCTCACCGGGTATTCTGATGAGTAATTTATAAAAAGACGGCTAGTTTACTGCGATTTCTTTTCGATGCACCGCATACTCCTTGAGGGCTTGTCGACCCGACTTCGAGTGTGTTAATTATTTTTATTTCATGATTTTTATAACTATAGTTTAAATTTATTTTATACTTAATTATTTTAATTATTTGTGTGTTAATTATTTTAAATGAATTCAGTTTTTTGTCGTTTAAAAGTTAAATATTTTTAAAGTGTTGAATTATTCGGAATTTAGTATCTATTTGCTATAGTAATTGTAAAAATAGTTTTGTTGATCTTGCATATCTAAAAAGGAACGCATATGATTGCATTATGTTAGGTTATGTAGTGTTAAGAAGTATTACTTATTCTTTTCTGCTTTATTTGATTTTATCAATTTCCATGCTTACATTTTTAACAAGATGAATAAATGTTCATTCGTCGAAGGAGTGTGTCACAATACGATATCAGAAAATGAGCTCAGAGCCCTCACCTCTCCCTCAGATAGAATAACCTGTAAAAATATATGTCATTCTGTTCTAACATTCAGAGAACAACACGAAAAAAGATACATTTTTGTTTTCTGAGAAATGTGCCAGGACAACCTCTCTTTAAGGATGGAATAAGCGCATCGACATATATAAAGAAACATGTGTCAAGTGTTTGGGTCACACACATTTTTCATGTGTGTGTGCCTGTGCTATTACATTCAGCTTACAGCAGTTAAATGTAACTATTTTCTCACTTTTCCTTTTCATTAGAATCATACTCCACATCAGTAAAACTGAACTGACTCACAAAAATATATTTCTCCAGCAAGAAAAAAATTGCTTCTACTTAATTTTTGTTGTTGAAAAAATCGAATCTCAACCATTTTGTATCGCACTGACTTAGTTTTTTCTGATAACTCAAATAATTTTGATGATTTTTACCAATTTCTTGTATTCATGTTAGAAATACTCGAAGGTACAAAACCATGCTCCTTCATTTAGATCTCTGAATAAATAATATTTGTAATTTGAATTATTAAAAGTTTTTTTTTCAGTTCTATAATTTTTTATCACAAAAACTATTGAATTGAAGTGTATGATTTGACATGGTTTTGTATATAATACTTGGTTCCTGTATCCTAAAAATGTCATAACGTTAACTTTATTAGTTTTTGAGTTATAAAGGAAACCGATCATAAAACTGTATTTCTGGAAAACAAGGGACGAAGTTTGATTGATGAGTTTTGCTTACCTTATTACTCTTAATAGATGCTTGATGCAGCGACGTACCTTTTAAATAACTCGAAAAGTGTTGCAGATATCACAATATGTTTTTCACCAGAATATTCTTAAATAATTAACGCGTGGGGAAATAATGTTTTCGGAATTGACTTTTTGTAAAGGTTTTAAGGTGCATGTGCCCCCTTAACGCTATTGTGCGTTTGTGCCTTTGCAGTCGGACGCGGAGGAGCAGCAGCAGCCATCGCCGCCGCCCGCGCGCCGCCCGTCGCCCGCGGAGCTGCCCCCGTGGCGGACCACGCCCCCTCCGCCGCCCCCGCCCCCGCGACGGGCGTCCACGGCGGACGCGTCGGTGGCGACGGAGGTGGAGGCGCAGACGGACGTGCCCACGCCCCAGTCGTC